TCTTATACATAAGGAGTATCTGGGCCCCTTTCTCTCTCTCTCTCTCTCTCTCTCTCTTGCTCTCTCAAAAATTCAATTAAAAAAAAAAAACCCTGGCTGGGTGACTCAGTTGGTTGGGGCATTGTCCCGTACACCAAATGGTGGTGGGTTTGAATCCCAGTCAGGGCACATACCTAGTTTGGGGGTTAGATCCCCAGTCAGGGTGTGTATAGGAGGCAACCAATTGATGTCCATCTTTCTTTCTCTCTCTAAAAAAAATCAAATATAAGGAAGGGGCAGTGGGGACACAGGTGACCAGTGAAGAGTGCCAGTGGAGCAGGGACGAAAGGCCCAAAGAGGTGACCAGACTTGATCTCTGGATCTTAGGAGCTGCAACACACAAGAGGCATGGAGGCAGAAAGTAGCAGGGCGTACCTGCCTTCTCAGACTAGCCCCTTCCGGAGGAATTTAGGGGAAGCACTATGAGACAGGGCAACAAAGTGTGTCTATCATCTAGCAAACCAGCCCACCAGGCACTGAGCTTCACAGACGGTCTCCTTTCTAGGACTGTGGTCCTAATCCACTGGCAACAGCTGCTGTGGTAGCTGCAAAAGGCCACAGCTTCCTTGGCACGCCCCACCCATCACGGTGGCTCTGCCTCTCCACCTTGTGAATCCTGGTTGGCCTGGGAGCTTGCTTTGATCAGTAAAACCTGGCAGAAGCTACAATGGATCAGTAAAACCTGGCAGAAGCTACAATGCATGAATTCCAAACCTAGACCTCAAGGGACTTTACAGTTTCCACTCATCCCTAGGCAAGCAAGGCCATGTTATCGCTGGAGGGAAAGAGTCTGCAAGGAGGGAGATTCTAGTTGAGGCTGTGGAAATGTAAGGCCATCATAGACCACCCAGCCCCTAACAGCCAGCCAGACCAGAAGAATCTCCAAGCCAACACTCAGACAGGCAATAGTAAATGTTTATTTTAAGCTACTAAGTTTTGTTATTTATCAAAGCTAACTGGTACAAATTTGAATTTTAACTCCTCCTAAAAAGTATGCATCAGTAGGTAACCACAATTTAAAAAGTACCCTATCCACCTCAGGATATGCAACAGCAATCTGAGTCTTTAATTTCTGGTAACTCTCCAGGTCTATAAAAATACCAAACATGATAGTTGTATTTGATTAATATAAACAACAATCTCAATTTATTTATTTATTTGTTTATTTATTTATTTAAAAATATATTTTATTGATTTTTTACAGAGAGGAAGGGAGAGGGATAGAGAGTTAGAAACATCGATCAGCTGCCT